GTCAAACACCTACTATAACGTATTTTAATTTTTTTACAAAAATATTTTGTCATGTTTAGTGTTTTAGAGATGATTGAATAATAGTTAAAAAATAAAGTCTTAGTCTTGTATATTGTGTGTGGGGGGGAGTGTAGGGTGTGGCTGGGGGTCCGTATGTGTGTTTGGTGGGGTGTAGGAGGGTGTGTGTGGGGGTTCTGAGGGTGTGGCTGTGTGTGTGGAGGGGCATAGGGTATGTTTCAGGGTGTGTGGAGGGGGTTGTGGGGGAAGGGTGTGGGTATGTGGGGTTTGTGGAAGGCTGGGGGTGCTGTGGGGACCCCTCCACACCCCCCCCCAAGGTACACAGTACACACCACTGGCAGCAGCAGCAGCAACAGGTGGGAGACACTCTGGGTGCTCATGAACCATGCAGGCACTGCCACCTGGTGGCACACAGCTCCAGCCAGCACTGCACATGGCAGCAAGGAGCACAGCCAGGTCAGCCCACCTCTATCATGTGGGGCTCCCAGTGGCACATGTGCAGCTCCTGGCACTCATGTGCCACCAGGAGGAAACCCTGTATGATGAAGCCAGGTGCATTCCCCTCTGCCTGCCCCCACACAAGCAAGGGGCATGGCTCCTCACCATTTCTGGTGCAGTCCCACAGCTGCATGTGATGGGGAAGGCAGCAAGTTCCATTGCATGGGGCTTCCCCTGGTGGTGCACGAATGCTGGGAATTGCACATGCACCATGGGGAGCCCCACACAATAGAGGCAAGTCAGCCTGGCTGTGCTCCTTGCTGCCATGTGCAGTTCTGGCAGGAGCCACGCACTGCCAGGCAGCACCGCTTGCACAGGCCACAAGTGCCCTGAGGGCCTCCACATGCTGCTGCCACCAGTAGCAAGGACTGTGTGCCATGGGGAGAGTGTGTGGCTGGTTCCCACACCACTGACCCTCCCTCACACCTACACCCTGCCCACCTGAGATCTGTGCTCCCCCTAGCCCCACACTCCCATCCAGCTGCATCTCCCCATCGCCCTCCACCCCCAACACTTCCCTACCTGCTGCCCAGACTGCAGCAGAGGCAGGAGGAGCCACTGAAGGCCAGGGAAGCTGAGCAGGCCCCTTGGAAGCTGCAGCTGTGGCAGCAACAGTCCTGCCTGAAAGCAGTGCGCTGGCTGGATCAGGACCTTTCACGCACAAGGGTGGGAGCGAGGCGCGGAGGCTGGGTGGGGTACAATTAATTGGCGGGTGCCCGTGATCTCGATTAAATTGCCCATCAGGCTGGATGCAGCCCGCAGGATGCTTTTGTCCTGCCCTGCTCTGATAGCAGGTACAGACATTATACTTTTACTGGGATAAGGCTAGGGATAGAAATTACACATAAACTAGTATGAGTGATAAGAACCTGGTTCAAATCTGTAACACAACAGAAGTTCGGGGCACATAAACCACTTTCAAAAGGCTGAAACCTGTTTAAGGTGAACCTGGATGGATGTAGTAGCAGCCCTAACTGATTTAGGTTAAATCAGTTTATTGAATTTCTGTCCTAGTTCCCCTCCAGATTCAGGCTAACTCTCAGTCCCCCAGCATCCTAGGAATGTTTTTCACCTGCCCTGCAGACCCCACTTCACCAGGTGGGTGCGCTAGGCTTAGACAAAGGTGTCTACTCCAGCTGAGCATGAAAGTGTGCTGTAGTGTGGTCCTGGCTTCTGGCCTGGATCACAGCAGGCATGTGGCTGCATTTCCAGAACAAAAGTGAATGTCTGTTCACTTGCTTATTGGTTCAATCTATGCAGCTTAGATTAACCTGTGAAAATTGAATTGATTCATCCTCTGGCTTTTTGATTGTCTGTACTTAGCCTAAGTAATTGGAAACCTGTCTATACCTGTAGCAGAATAGAAGTTCAACACGCAATATTGGTCTATATCCATAACAGAACAGAAGTTTGCCCCACATAGACTGATTTAAAAATGGGAGAACCCAGTATAAGATCTGCACCCCCTACTCCACCAAAGGGTGAATGTGTGTTCTGTTCACTACCAATCTAAACTATGCCGCTTACAGAAAAATGTTTAACTTAGATCGATTCTGCCTTGGGCTTTTTCAATGTCTGTACATAGCCCAAGCCTTTTACTCATCTCCCCATGCTCTTGTCCTTGCTTTCTTTATTGTCCTGGTTTCTCTATCTTGTAAACAACTGTGTGCTTTTACTTATGCATTTGCCCTATGCCTGAAATATCCAATTATATCTAGCACATTAATGAATCTCTCCTTTCTGTCAGCTATATCTTTATTATATTATTCAGCCTTCCATGTGTGAGCTCCATTCCACTACTCTTACCCTATTACTGGACTTTTCCCCCCTTGTATATGATTTTATATGTAAAAGGAAAATTAGGTCTGTACTTTTTAGCAACAGACCCCCCCCCCCATCTCATTCTTGGATAATAAATTAAACCAGTAAACTGATCATAATACTAGCACTTGACTACCATAATACAAAACAGCACTAATGTAGCAAGTCATTATTTAAACAGATTTTATTATCAATCTACCTTTTCTCGGGATTTCTTCTTAATACGGATGACAATTGCTCAATGTGAGTGCCA